CCGGTGCTCCAGGCAGTGTGGTAAGGGGGCAGGGAGCAGGGGGCGTTGGATAGAGGGCAGGGGAGTTCGGGGTGGTGGTCAGGGGGCACGGGTGTGGATAGGGGGCAGGGCAGTTAGTGGCGGAGAACAGGGGGGTTGAATGGGGGCAGGGTCCCGGAGGGGGGCGGTCAGGAAGGAGAGGAGGGCTTGGATGGGGTGGCAGGGGGCAGTCAGGGGCAAGGTTTCTGGGGGTAGTCAGGGGACAGGGAGATGTGGTGGTTGGAGGGGGCAGGGATTCTGCGGGGGCAGTCAGGAATGAGAGGAGGGGTTGGATGGAGTGGCGGGGGGCCGCCAAGGGGTGGTCCGGGGGCGGTCAGGGGACAGGGAGCGGGGGTGGTGGTGGTGGATCGGGCAGGAGTCTGAGGGGGGCGTCAGGGGGTGAGAAGCAGGGGGGGTTAGGGGGGCTGGGCCACGCCTGGCTGTGTGGGGGGCACAGCCTCCCCTAACCGGCCCTCCATACAATTTCGGAAACCCGATGTGACCCTCGGGCCAAAAAGTTTGCCCACCCCTGTTCTAGCTAGTCTGGATAGCTGGTAGTCTGACCTCTCTGACTTTCTGACCTTATTCTGTGTGTACTAATTGTATTAATCTAGTCAACCAAACTGCCTATCAAATATGCACAAAAACCAGAACCGAGTAGAGATCTTCATAGATTTAACATTAGATCTTCTCTCTCGGGTTTGATGACTGATCCAATGTGTTAGTGTTTGCTTTAATTGTCTTCTCTTCTCCCGTTACTTAAAAATATATCCTTTTTACTGGAGGTGTGGGCCTGCATCCACTGTAATTCATGGCAAAATCCCCCTGTGTGAATGTGATCAGAACATTGGTCTTTGTTGTAGAGTTCTTACTTGAATATGTTGCTACTAATTAATGATCACTTGGGGACAACCAGATTCCCAGTTCATACTTTTCTTCAAACAAGAATCCTTAACTCTCTAAAGTTAAGATGTCAGAACGTTGTAAACACTAAAGCAATACAGACTGTACAGAGTATCTCTTTAGTGTTGTATTCAAACCAGAAGAAACTTTCAGACACACTGGGTAGCACTTTACTGCAGAAGTAGTCCCATTGAAGTAAATGGTGCTATTCATGGAGTAAGGCACTACTCAGCATGAGTATGGATGGCATAATCTGACCCATAGATTGTATGCTCTTTGGGGCAGGAATTGTGTAGTCTTGTACATCTATCCAGTACTGCAAACACATACCAGTACTATGATTTAAGTCAGAGTCTGAGAGCTCATTTCTTTCTTTCCCTTTGGAAGATGTGCAAAACTTTTCTTTGTTTAGAGAGCCCATCCTTAAAGAAAGACTTTAAAAATGCTTTTCTTGTACAGTTTCACAGATGATTTGGAGAAACTTTCCAAAGTGGCTGATGGAGTTAGGTGCAGAAGTCCGTTGACTTTCATTGGGGGTTGTAGCCCTAACTTCCTTGTGCACTTCTGCAAATCCTACCTTCCTTTCTTCTGTTTGTCAGAGATAAAATACAATGGTATTAGGCAGTGGGACTGCGATGGGATGACAAGGGGAATAGCACCCCTATAGCACCTATTTATTTTACAAAATAATGAAATCTGTAATGAAACTTTTAATAGGCATCAGCCTAGTCCATGTATTTCTTGTAGTTCATTTTGAATTAATATAAGTGTAAAAAAATTGTCTAGGCTCTAAAAACATGTTTACATAGATCTTTTTTCCCATTAGAACTAGGAAGCATTTATGTAAAAAAAAAAAAAAAAGCTGTTTGTTGGAACCTGAAGAACATTTTTAATTTCATCGAACCAGAAAATCAAACCTGTGTCATTCATACCGAACAACTTGTTTACTTTTTCTATTCCCAAATATATACCCTTAGATAATCTCATCAAAATTTGTATTAATAAATCAAAATCCCCAGTCGAAATAAAGACAGACACCACAATTTTTCTATTCTTGCTTATCTTGCATTCTTGTGTTTAATGTTTTCAGGAACTTAAGACTTATTTATCAATTAAGGAAGAAAGGTGGGAAAACAAAATGGGAAGTTGTATTCCAAAAACCACTTTAATCAATCTAAGAAGAGTTGCTCTGCTGGAACAACCTCAGGACCACATCTATTCCTGTTTCACATCCTTCCAGAGCAGCCACTGGTCTCTGGTGCCCTCATTTTTAACCAGTGATCACTTAAGAACATTTTGGCCCAAATTCCTTCTTCCTTCCTTGCACTGTCAACTTGACTAATGATTACTCAAAAATTCTTAAAAAGAAAAGGAGGACTTGTGGCACCTTAGAGACTAACCAATTTATTTGAGCATGAGCTTTCGTGAGCTACAGCTCACTTCATCGGATGCATACCGTGGAAACTGCAGAAGACATTATATACACACAGAGACCATGAAACAATACCTCCTCCCACCCCACTGTCCTGCTGGTAATAGCTTATCTAAAGTGATCATCAAGTTGGGCACAATTCAAGATGAATTGGAATTCATTTGCAAATTGGATACTATTAATTTAGGCTTAAATAGAGACTGGGAGTGGCTAAGTCATTATGCAAGGTAGCCTATTTCCCCTTGTTTTTTCCTACACCTCCCCCCCCAGATGTTCTGGTTAAACTTGGATTTAAACTTGGAGAGTGGTCAGTTTGGATGAGCTATTGCCAGCAGGAGAGTGAGTTTGTGTGTGTGTGTGTGTCCCCGGGAAGCGGGGGGGGTGGTGAGAAAGCCTGGATTTGTGCTGGCAATGGCCCACCTTGATTACCATGCACATTGTAGGGAGAATGGTCACTTTGGATGAGCTATTACCAGCAGGAGAGTGAGTTTGTGTGTGTATGGGGGTGGGGGGGGGGTGAGAAAACCTGGATTTGTGCTGGAAATGGCCCACCTTGATTATCATGCACATTGTAGGGAGAGTGGTCACTTTGGATAAGCTATTACCACAGGAGAGTGAGTTTGTGTGTGTGGTTTTTGGAGGGGGGTGAGGGAGTGAGAGAACCTGGATTTGTGCAGGAAATGGCCCACCTTGATTATCATACACATTGTGAAGAGATTTATCACTTTGGATGGGCTATTACCAGCAGGAGAGTGAGTTTTTGTGTGTGTGTGGGGGGGGGGCGGAGGGTGAGAAAACCTGGATTTGTGCTGGAAATGGCCCAACTTGATGATCACTTTAGATAAGCTATTACCAGCAGGACAGTGGGGTGGGAGGAGGTATTGTTTCATGGTCTCTGTGTGTATATAATGTCTTCTGCAGTTTCCACGGTATGCATCCGATGAAGTGAGCTGTAGCTCACGAAAGCTCATGCTCAAATAAATTGGTTAGTCTCTAAGGTGCCACAAGTTCTCCTTTTCTTTTTGCGAATACAGACTAACATGGCTGTTACTCTGAAACCTGTCAAAAATTCTTGCCACTCATTTGTGCATATAAGAGAATTGCCTAGGAGGCCCAGAATTGTCAGAACTTAATTAGTTTATTAAAAGAATTTGGGGTCCCGTGGGTCTATTTCACTGGAAATGTTGCATTTCTCAGACACATTGCCTGTGTAATGACTTAGCACTTATAGACTTAAATGTGTGGGTGAAGTGGGCAAAGTGATCTGCAAGTTGGAGTAAATATATGCCCCAATTTACAGATGAGGAAACTGAGGAACAAAGAAGTGCCCACGGTAAGGGAAGTCAGTGAGAGAGCCAGGAGTAGACGGCACCTGTCTCTTCTGATTCTCAGTCCTGTGCCCTATCCAAGTATCTCAGGACAATATTTTTTCCAGTGGTGGAATGTGTTTCTCTGAAGTTCAGATTCCAGTTCAGTACTTTAAATGTTGCCTTTATTTGGTGAGAAGGAAGACTCACTTGTGTGAGGACCATTTTAGCCAAAACAAATGAAATCTCTTTGGGGCCTTACAATAATCACCCTAAAATAAGCCCAGAAGAGCCTTATGACCAGCCTTGAAAAAACTCCTGTGACTTAATATATTTTAGGCTGCTTAGTTGGATAATGGTTAATTTGTTGCATATGTCCGCTGCCGCCTCTGCTCTCACACTGGATTTCTATCTGACGATAGTCTAGATCTGTGAGGCTGTCTTCAGCAAGAAATTTAGGTCTAGTTGCCACGCATATCCTAAGGCTGGCCAAAGCCAGCAGTACTTTTAAATGCATAGGACCCTACTGGGCATCATTCTTCAAGGTCAGATTTATCAACATGATTTTCTGGGTTTTCTTTGACATTTCTCTCCCCTTTTTGCCCATACTTATACTCTATGGTTTTAGAAGTCTTTTCTTCCATTTGTTGTCTTCAGAGAAAAAGAACAAACAGTTCCAGTGTTTACTTTGCTTCTGATGTGACCGTTGACACAATTACTATAGGCTTCTTAGGAGGAAAGGGGAGGAGGAAAGAAAAATCCCAACAAACTCTACTAAAAAAACCATGGGTTTCAGAGTAGCAGCTGTTTTTAGTCTGTATCCGCAAAAAAGAAAAGGAGGACTTGTGGCACCATCTAAGGTGCCACAAGTACTCCTTTTCTTTTAAAAAAAACATGTTTATTACGCTTTCTCCTGGGCACTGAGGTTAATTCTTGCTATAGAACAATTAACACATTTCAACCAGCCATTGTACCCCCTGCATTACAGAAAATGTGCTTTTCACGAGGGAAAGCAGAAGTGCAGAAATCTGGAGGAGACAGAGTTTTGGGGTTTTTTGGTCCTAAAGTATGCCTACTTTGTTCTCACCTAGCCCCAGCTGAGGGCTTTCCCCCCTTCAGGACTGGGCAGGTCTTACAATGCAGGTTGGTTTGTGTGCTCCCTTATCAGAAAAGTCTCCTGAATCTCCTGCCTTTTATTATTATTTATTTCAGACGCGATGCTCTGCCTGTCTTCCTCCTTTGACCCAACTAACACAGCGCTTCTCCTTTCTTTCTCTTCCAGGCTCCATGGGAGGGGGAATTGCAGCAGTTTGGCAGAAGAGCTGTGCCCCCCCCCCTGCTTGGGCAGTGAAGTCAGAGGCAGCAGCAGGAGGAGCTGGCTGGCTGTATGTGTGTGCAGAGCTCCTTGGCCGCCCTGTTTCCTGGTGCTCTGCTCCCTGACCCCAGTGGCAGTCCCTTCGCACTGCACGGCTCTGCTCTCTCCCTTCTTTGCTCTCGCTCTCTCTCCCCTCTGTCTCTCTCGCTCGCGCTCCCAGATCGAGGCTCTGCTCTCATTCTTTCTCTCTGTGTCTCTCGTTTCCACTCTCCAGCCAGCCGGGGGACCCTCAGGGTCGAAGGTTTTGCCCTGCCTACACCAATCTCCACCTTCCAGCCTTTCTCTTAACCAGCTCTCTCAAATCCCCCATGGATCGGTTCCTCTCCCAGCACTGAAGGCATCCCTAGGACACACAGCAGCAGCCAGAAAAAGAAAGGTAATCAACCCCGATTAGAGAGAAGGGGAGAGAAATCAAATGGAAAAATAACAAAACACAAAGCCTCGGGTTAGAGGTGCCTTGTCATGTACAAGTAGAAGGGGATCAGACAGGGTCTAGCGCAGCAGCGCCTGAGCCAGGCTGCTTTAAACAATAATAAGAATAAAACTGGCTGCTTATTTTCCGTTCACCAGAATGGTCATTTAGCTGGATGGGTTGGTTTTCATTTGTTTGGGGCTTATTTTTTGCAGAGTGAAAAGCTAATTATTTTGTTGAGCTGAGTGTCTTGTCTCCCTCCCTCCACCCCATGCAAGCCCCCCCCTTCCCCCACTGCGTTATTTCTTGTCTGGGGGGGAGGTAGTGGTGGAAGTGATTTGGCAGCAGAGAGAGAGAAATGGGATGAATTTTCCTGGCTGTTTACTAGAAAGTCTCGGGTGATCGGGGTTATAATGTTAGAGCACGACCGGGGGAGGGTAGGCCAGGGAGCATTTTGCTTGCTGGAGAGACCAAGGAAACGCAGATCAAGCGGGCGAAATGCAAAGTACAGTTACATTCAAACTGAAATGTAGCGTTTGCTCCGATTTTTTTGTGCATTTGAAGGGGGCTTTTTCTCCTCCTCCCCCCCCCCCCCACCAAAGCAGGCAACCGGAGGGGCGGGGGGAAGCGAGACTCCAAGAAAAGTACCGATTGGAAACCGGTTTCTTTTATATTCAGAGCTGGAGTTTCTGTGTCTATTTTAAATGCGAGAGAACTACATTTTAAAACATGCTTTGAAATCCTGATCCCAGAGGCCTAGGGCACTTGGAAACCTTTAGAGAGGAAGGATATTGGGGGGGGGGAGGGATTGTGGAAATGACACAGCTGCAATAAAAAGCATTTATTCTCTTGTTGGTTGAATATGTCGCTCGTACCCCCCCCCCCCCAAAATCAGTTTTAGTGCAAATGTGGGCGTGGAAAAATAACATGAATTAATTTCAGAGAGCGGGGAGGAAAAAGGAGGATAGAAACTTTATATATTAAAAAAAAAAAAGCAGAAATGCCCCCCTTCTCCGAGGAAATAATAAACACAAGAGCAATTGCAAATGTAGGAGCTTGCAGGGCGGGTTTGTGCTTCCTGGGGGCTCTGGCTGTGTGTGTGTTTGATCTGGGCTATAATGCCAGCTCCTCTAGTGGAAGGGGAAGATCGGATGGGATGAATGACGTTGGGAAAAGGGGGATGTTGTACAAAAGGCAGGATGGTGCGGTGTCAGAGCCATTGGCCACAGATTGTGATCAATCGATCCGAGCCTGGGGAAAAAGAGGGTGAGAGGGAGCGAGCCAAGCACCCAGCGTACTCACAACAGCAGCACGGAGGGTGCCCAGAGAGTACGAGGCGGCAGCCGGGCATGGACTGACTGCTAGAGGAGGTAGCGTGTGGAGACTGGTACCACTTCTGCCTTTTCCGCCTAGTACTGAGTGCTACAGAAAGAACCATTTTGGCATCTGCATCATTTATACCGAGGGATCGGCTTGCCATGAGGTTTTATTCCACAGACACATGAAGGGAGAGGAAGTCGGTGTGTGTGTGGAGGTGGGAGGGTGGTGGTATTTATGAATGTACAGCGCTGCGTTTGTTTCTCTGTGCGACTCAAGGTGTGTGTGAATAGTTTTTGGATAAGCTTTCTGTGGGCATCATTAGTTTGATTTAACTTTTCATGCCTCCCGCTCTCTCTTGAAGTCTGCGAGCGCTTATCTAGAGGTGTGTGCAGAGTGGGTAATGTGTTGTCCAGAATGAAATTTTAAAACACACGTTTACACTTAGTATATGCGGTGTCACTTTGATATATGCACCACTCTTGATGGATAGGATGAAGTTGGAGTTGCATGAAAAGTATAGTACTGTACAACATTGCAGCGATTTCGGGCAAATTGTTAAATAATCACAAGCACATCCTGCAATAACCTATGAGAGACCAAATAACTATCTTATTTATTGTGGTGGGCTTGTGTTAGTATTTTTTAAATATGTTGTTGCTCTATCAACGTTGATATAACAGATATTGGAAGCCTACTTGAAAAGAAAACGTTAACATCTAATTTAACCCCTTTTCCCCCTCTTCAGTCTTGACAGACTGAAATTTTCTCCAACTAATACCAGTCAGAAGAGCAAAAGCATTGATTGATCAAATTGAGGACACACAAGTGCTTAAATTTGAGGGGGATTTTTTTAATATGTCCAAAGAGCTATTATGTATAATGTTTTAATTACAGGTAGAATTAAAATAAAATTGTAAAAGCTGCTCAGTATGAATACTCCTTAGAAAAGTAGGCTGTAGTATAGAATTAATGTCTGCCTTTTGTTTTAAAAAGTGCCAGCCTTGTACATTTTATAGATTTAAAACTGAACAAACAGACCCATGCAGTAAGGTGTCTCTTTATAACATTTTAAATCATAAATACAGGCTGAAAGATAGCTATTGGCATTCCCAGAATAACCTCTGGCATATCATTAGTAAAATATGATATAATAAAGTGGATTGTATATCCTTTTTATAGTTAATTTTTAAGCAAGAAATCTATCAGGTAAGAAGTGGCAAATATTGCATACTAGGTTGCACTTGACAGCTATGAAAAAAACAGGCAGCTATCCTTTTGTGCTCATCCTCTCAGTGAGTGCTTACTGTCAGGGGGGTGAGAAGAACAATAGTGCTGAAAAATAAGCCTTTTTTTCCTTTTTGTTTATGAAAGTTCTGAAATACTCTGCTTCTGTTTGACATTCTCTTCAAAGAACTCCACATTAAAAAAGATAATAATCTGACACCTCTGATAGGTGAGCTGTATTGGTATATAAAACATTCAAGGGAAATTAGGAAAATGAAATTAAAATCAGCTTCCCCGTCATATATTTGACTTTTTTTCACTTTGGATTTTCGTTGTTACCTTTCAGTTTAATTCGATACTTTGTTTAACTTAGTCTTATTTAAGCATAAAGGTATATATTTAGAATTAAATACTATTGGAAGTTTTTACTTTAAATATTACAATGAAACAACTTAAAAGTATTTTATATATGACTGTCCAATATCCTCTTAGTACTTCTGTTGTATGCTAATTAGCTGAAATTTATATTTTTGTAATAGGTTTTTAAACACTGTAAAATGATGTTTAATATTATCTTTGTGTATAATTCACAATAATGAGCAAATTAAATTTTCTTCTGATTTACTCGTAATAGGAAATGTAATGTTCTGACTTTTGCTTATACTGTTAGTGGAAGTACATAGCCTTTCTAAAAGTCTGGGCAAAAATTTGGTTGTGGTTGCTTCTAATTTTCTCCGTTTTACACAGTAGATTTTGATTGCAAAAAAATAAGATTGGGCATGTAATTTCCACACTACTCCCTAATTTATGTAAACCCTAAAGTTCTTGTGTAAAAATGTGTATTTTTTCCCCTTCAAGCCTTGATGGCTAACATTCTTTTTAATGACAGTCATTTCTTCAACGGGAAGATGTTTTCATTTGTATTTACTTTTGAGTGCAGTGCAATTATGCAGTTTTTACGCTGCATACTCTTAATAGTTTGTATCTCAAAAGAATTACAGTACTTAGAACAGGACTGCAATTTGAAGCAGGTGTTGTGTTTTACTGTTATGCAAAATAACAGTAAAATATAATTGTGAGGGAAATTAAGGAAACAGCTGCAAACTTGGTATGAAAACCACCACATTATGATTCGTGAGCAGTTATTACATGTATCTTACATCACAATTAACAGGGCAAAGATTTGATTTAGTAAATCTTGCCTTGTTGATTTTATCCCTCAGACCCTTAGTATTGTTCTTGTGAAGGCAAATTAGTATAAAGACCAAACAGTGATTTCACTGAAACATACAAAATCACAAGTAGCTCTCTCTCTCTTGGTAAGAATTTTAAGGTTTAGTTTAATTTTCTCTGCTTTTTACTGATATTGGAAATGGATGAGAGAATCCTATTCCTGAAATGAAGAAATTTCTTTGCCCAACTAACATATGGAAGCGGAGGTAGGCCTGAGGTTGTAAAATAATAAAATAAATGGCCTATGGCAGGCCATATGCCATTTGTCTGGTGTTTTTGCAATATTTTTATGCCAAACTGGAAATTAGTCTTGTAATCTAAATATATTTTTATTACAAAGCAAAGATTTCAAAATTTTAATGTTGCATGTAGTAAACATACTTCTGTTTGGGAGCTAAGAGTAGTCCAAGAGCATCACTGTAGGAAAAATATTGCATAGTTTGGTGCCTGAGTTTCAGATCAGTCTCCTCCCTCCTAGTTTGTATGTTCTCATTTCAGCAAATGGAGATTTACTCTTGTAATTTACACATAAATACAAGAACCTGCTCCTTGCATCTAGTAATTTAAGGCCAGATCCTCCAGCTGAGGATCTGGCCCATAAATAGTACTTATACAGAGCTTGAAAGCGCTTTACGGACATTAACTGATCAATTTTCACAATACCCTTGTAAAGTAGGGTCGTCTTGGTATCCTCATTTTACAGATGAGGGGGGCGGAATGAGTTTATGAAGGAGTCAGAACTGAGATTAGAAGTTGGGCGTTCCTGGCTCTTAGGCCTGTGCTCACACTGCTAGATCACCGGGCTTCTCCAGTCTGAATGCTCATATTCTTTATGATGGCTTTTTGTGTGTGTGTGTACGTGTGTGTGTGTACGTGTACCGGAATTTGATGATGTCTGGTGCACTAGAAAAGGTGTTGGTACTTTAGTGACTGGCCCATTGTGAGTAACTCAGGCGTGTGTGTATAGGCAGAGGAGCTTGTTTTACTTTTATCTTGTGTGTATATATATGTAGAATTCTCATTAATAGAATTTTATATGTGCCCTGAGAGAAGGCTGGTAATAGCAGCAAATAAATCACAACTATTTGATTACATAAAGTGTATAGAAAGCTTAGTTTTGTTGCAGGTAGAATGAGTATATCGGTAATGCTGCTCAAATACCAGTTTTCCTTTTGACAGATATAAATACTTTGAACCAAACTGGTTTGAGTTTACCTTTTGTTATAGCTTTGTAAGATGGGCTGTCTTATATTCAGCTGGAAAAAGATCTGACGAAATGTAACCAACTTTGTAAAGTGAACTATGCTTCGAAGAGGGTGCAGGCATTTGACAAGAGCCATTTGACCTTCATGAATTTAGGCCCAGTTATTCACTTTCACAGCTGTAATTAGCACTAGATGTTTATTTAAAATTAAGAGGAATAGTAAATATGGGGCACTTAGCTGGGGCTTTCCACACAGATTATTTTGTAGTGTAAACAAAGTCTTATTTTAAGCCATCCATACTACAAAGGTACTTAAAACAGTGCAAAGTGAAGAAGCTTTAAAAAAAAGATGCAGGTATAATTAACATTTAGTGGCCAGATACTAAAATAAATGGGTACATTAGAAATATGTAGATAGAAATTTCCAAAGAATATCAGCATAGGACTAGATTGAAATTCAGCCATAATTTGATCTCTTTGGAATCTCAGGACTTTAAACACTGTGTCTGTGTTATTCTTCTTCCTTTTGTAGAACTCTGTTGTGTTGATGAGGAGATCCTTGGGTTCAGAACTTGGCTGGAACACAATGCCCACCGCCATTCTTGGCTCTGGAAAGTTGTAAATTGCTCATGTCTATAAGGAGGAAGGATGGCTCATGGAATTCCTTCACAAGGCAAAGTTACCATAACAGTGGATGAATACAGCTCAAATCCAACCCAGGCATTTACACACTACAACATCAACCAGAGCAGGTTCCAGCCTCCACATGTACATATGTAAGTATTTTTAACCTTGATTTTTGAAGCTAATTTAAAATGAGGTGTGTCAATAGGACAGTTGGTTGAAAGCTAGAACAAGTGATTTGACGAATAAACTACTTGACGAAAACTGCCAACATTTGTTACATAACATATTTTACAAATAGTGTTCCATCACCTCTAGATGCTAATGACTTTGCCCTCCAATGGCACAGACTTAGGCCTGGTCTACACTAGAAAATTAAGTTGGGTTAACAACCTTGCTCAGGGGTGTGAACAGTCTGCACCCCTGAGTGGCATAGTTAAGGTGACTTAATGTAGACAGTGCTCGGTCAACAGAATAATTCTTCCATCAATTTAGCTACTGCCTCTTGGGGAGGTGAATTACCTACACCAACAAGAGAATCCCTGCTGTCGGGGTAGGTAGCATCTACACGGAAGCACTGCAGCAGCGAAGCTGTGTCACTGTAGCATTTTTACTGTACACATATCCTTGTTGAAACGCATCAGAATACAGTATTGTGTATGAGGTGCCAGGTTCTGAAGTTCACTTGTAACTTTAGTGATCTCACTGTAACTTGCCGGAGGGACCTATTTCTTAAAAAATTTAGGTTTCAGAGGAGCAGCCATGTTAGTCTGTATCCGTAAAAAGAAAAGGAGTACTTGTGGCACCTTAGAGACTAACAAATTTATTAGTTAATAAATTTAATTTATTAATAAATTTGTTAGTTTCTAAGGTGTCACAGGTACTCCTTTTCTTTTTAAAAATAGGCCTAATTGGGACTAATTGTCCTCTGATCACTGAATCCTTTGTCTTCCTTGTTGTGAGTGGAACTTGTGCCGCATGCTGTATTCCACTCACAACAAGGATTCAGAGATTGTGAAACAATTAGTCCCAAGAAATACAAATACCAAGTTAAAATAATGTTCATGGCTTGAACTTAAACCAACAAAAGCATGGGAAATTCAGATCTAAGGCTCCTTACCTCACGGTGTTATGCCTTAGTATTGTATGACTTGTAAAATCATTCTACAATATAGTATCTAGGCACAATGGGGAGTGCTAAGAACTAAGTGCTAGCTTTAACTTTGAATTTCCTTCCCATTGTTTGGCTAAGTCAGATCCTTATCAACTATTTCTATTTAAGTTCTTTTTTTCTTAATAGTCTCAAATGTATGTTAAACTATAAAACAAAAGGGATGGCTTTGGACCTCAGAGGGGCCCCCTGTGTTAACCAGGATTTTGCACATTGTCACGCTGTTGCATTTGATAGGGCCTTTGCATAGTCAAAGTGCTAAAGTAGCATGCCACTTCATAGCATTTTTGCTTTGCAGAATCCTGTCAAGAGGCTGACAGTCCAACAGTTGAGCACCTTCTCCTGGGACTTCTCCTGTAGTAACAATATTCCTAAAATCATAAACCATCAGTGGAGCTTCTAAAAGGATAAGTTCAGAATAGTAGTCACTTCCCAAACTTGGAAGCGTTTACCTTAATTACATTTTGTTGTAGCTGAAAAGATCACATTACTCTGCTTTTAGGGCAAAACTCTCCCCTCTGCTCCACAGTGTGGATCTCTTATCAGCAGTGCAGATCTCCATTGCACATTCTGCACTTCAGGCTGCCCTGCTGACTTCCATCAATATCAATAGAATTTCTGTGTACAGAATGAGTTCAGAATAACCCCTAAGATCCAGACTGTAGATTGGAGAGAATTTTTGTTCTTGAAGGGCCCCTTCTAATTCCTGTTGAATGCAACAGGAAATTATCGTGGATTTCAGAAGGTCCTGAAAATGGCTGAAAGACTAAAAAAAATTTTACTTTTCAAAATGCATCTCTGATTTGTTCTAGAAATAGGCAATAATAATAATGATAATCTCTAATTTCAATATTTTTGTGCATCTCTAAACCAGAAGTAGTTTGGCAGATAGTTTCATTGGATTTGAAAAACTCCCTAGTCTGAATTAAAAATCTGAGGTTATAATTTACAACATAATGAAAATGAAAACAGACTCTTAACTACAATGTTGCTGCTTTGATTTCAACACTTAAGAATAAAAAAAAGGTCTGACATGATAAAGAGATGGAGTGATGGGAGAAGGAAATGATTTTTGCACCAAAATCTTGACTAAACAGGAAGAGAATGAGTGAGGTGAGTTACGAAGTGCAGAAAGCCAAAGATTGCAGAAGTTGAGGCAAATTTTGGCATTAGGAATGGAGAGCAAATGCTGGATTTTAGAGAATCTATAGAGGAAGAAATGACAGGATGTGGGTGCAGAGGTGAGAGATGAGGTGAATATGTCACCAGAGTTGTGAGTGTGAGTAATCAGGATGATGGAGTTGTCTCTGATCATGGAGAAGTGAGAGCTTCAGAAAAGGATGCTCATTTGCTTTTCCAGGGTGTTATAATGGAAGCTGTGTGCATACACATGAGTTGGGGGATCAGCAGGCAAAAATCTGGGTGAGAAAATTGGAAAAGACAAAAATAACTAAGAAACCTTTCTTCAAAAGCACACCTGCTCTTTTTATCAGTCAGTCTCTGTATTAATGCCACACTGCTGCAGCTGCCAATCTTTTATGCAGCTTTGTTTTTCTCATTGTACTACCTTGTTAATGCCTCTCTATAAAGAATTCGAAGAACTTTTTTCTTCCTGTTATTGGAAAGTTACAATGCAGCCTGATAAAAGAGTGTTGGGAAGCTGATAAATGAACAAAAGGGTATACAAGCACTGAGCATACTAGAGTATACAAGCCCATGCCAAGGGACCGCTATATTGCGTTGCTTATTCTAAACACCATAATCCATAGTCTAAGGTAGAACTGAGTTTGAAGGCCAAGCTGTTATGCTAGCTCCCAGGCTTTCTTCTCAAGGAATTTTCAAAATTATATGTGTGCAACACATCTCAGTTTCTCCTTTATGTGTGTGTGTGTGTGTGTGTGTTCCTCTGTGTGTGAAGGCAAGGGTTGGGGATAAGACTTAAAGGACTATTTAATACAATTAATTCTGAATTGACTGAGCTGCGTACAAGTCTCTTGCATTCACGGGGCTTGATTCTCATCTCACATTGGTGTAAATTAAAAATCAGTGGAAATGTATCAGTGTAAAACAGCAGCAGTAGATCAGAAACATGTTTACTGTTTCCTTAGACTTTGTCCGCCTCTTCTTCCTCCCCCTCCATTTGATGTGTTGGGACAGAGACACATGGTATAATCAGCACAGAACAGAGAGCCAGTTTCTCTTGTGTTCTAATCCTGGTTCTGACACTTCCTGTGGCTGTGGATGCAGCGCTCTAAAGGGGTACTGTCAGGTGAAAAGTCATTTATTAAATACCCCAGCCAACCAAAACCCACATTCGTCTACTCTTGTCTACTCATAGCAGCTTTAATTACTAAACTGTAAGAATTGTACAACTTTAATATAATTTTCCCCATTTATGCTTTTTTAATTTTTGCACTGCCTTCACTTTGAGCAGGTGACACAAGGCCAGTTTCACTTTTTCACTATCTGATTCTTCTGTATGTGCACAGTGATGCAGTGATTGGTTTGCAGACACCATAAGACCAAAAATCCTTCTTTTCATTAATATTTTAAAGAATTTATAAAATATTTCTATTGCATTTTGTAAAATCCATTCGTTCTATATTTTTGGAACTACCTGATTGTACCATGCTTAAAGGGAAACTTCCAAGGAAAAAAACACCACAAATGGTACGTGTGTCCCTTTTTGCTGCTTAAGAATGTATAAAGAAGCTGTGAAAGGTCACTTTTCCTCCCAGATTTTTCTGTTTCCTCATTTTATGTTAAAAGTATTAAGAATATATTTTTTCCCCTCCTGATTCTGCTGGACGTCTCATTGGTGGACTCCGAGAAATAGGTTGGGTTCTTTCATAGTTCTTAATTGAACCTTTGACAAAGATAACTTTCCTTTCATTTGTTTACTAGGCATTTGAATTAAATAGGTATCAAAAACCCAGCTGGCCAACCAAGAAAACAAAACAGAACACCAACCAAAAAACAAATACAACACAGATAGTTGTAATCAGATTGGATAAAAATCTCTTTCCTTCTCAAACAAGTTTCACTTCTGCGATAATTGTGATTTTATTACCAGTTCTCCAGTCATCCATAGAGTAATTTAGGAAAAACAAGGTACGGAATGTTTCTAATATAATAAAGAAACATGGGAAGAAAAAAATCTTTAAAAATAAAATGACCTTCAAGACTTTTAAATGCATCAAATACATGCATCATTTATGTAGACTGTAAACTCTTCGGGGCAGAACTTTTTTTTAACTGAAGGATTATACAATACCCAGCATTCCTGGGGTCTGGTTGTGGCTTGTGGCCTCTGTGTGTTGTTGTAACGCAAGCAATAATAACTCAAAACAAAAAAGGCCTCCTCTCCCACACCTCCACCCCACCTTTTCTAGGCCACCTTTAATCTCCTTTCCTCCGTTTTATTCACTAGGGGTGGTCTTTTTGATTAACAAATAATAATTGTCCAACTATATGAAAACTTTCACAGAAATGTTCATTTTTTAAATTTTTCATTGAAATGAATCAAAAATGTTTTGATTTGAAACAAAAAAAAATTGTTTTTATTTTAAGTAAACTGAAAATTTTTCAATTTTCTGAGTTCAGACCTCCCACTCCACTCCTCCTTTATCTTCATCTTGAAAAGAGACTAAATGAATGTGAAAATGGGAAGGGGGAAAAAAACCCCAAAACTGAAAAGTGTTCTATTAGTGCCTGATAAAAATACATATTTTTGTTTAGTTTTGACAAAAAGATCACAAATTTCCAGGAAAAATGTTTTTTTGGGAAAAAGTCAATTTATTCTTTTATTTTAATTTTTTTTAATGGAAAATACTTACCATTTTTTGAACATTATTTACTCCACGGTAGTGTTGAGAGGATTTGTTAATTGAAGGTCCTGATACTGGAAACTAGTCCATGTAGACCGATCCTCATTTACTTTTTTGGGGATCTACCCAGATATAAAGGTCCACCAATGCAAAA